TGTGTCTTCCAGAAACTGGCAAATAGCAGAAAAACTAGGAATTTTCAAAAAATTATGTGAATGCAAAGTTTTCAATCTAGGTATTTTCAGAGTGATGGGACACTTGACAGCCGAGCTTCAGACTCTTGAAAAAAAAGCCCATATATCTCGTTTCCTGTAATAGATATCAAAAGGTGGCCAATTAACAAAATGTTTATCATAATATCGGCAAAATTTTATTAGTTGACCATTTTTTGATATCTTTCCCAGGAGCCGAGATAAATAGGATCGAAGTTGGCTGCTTGGATGGCCTTCTATTAGAAGTTTTATGGTATCTTATTAATCGGTGCAGTAGCAACAAAGTTGATTTTCAGATGGCATTTGACCCAAAAACCGTGACCATTGCAATGGTACAATCAGCCTCCAATGCGTGTCATTATGTAAAAGATGGAGATATTCTAGTGAAAGTGAACGACATCTACGTTCTAGATCGTGATGCTGCCCGGAAACTCTTCTATGCAAGTGTCAACAATACGAAGACAGTTCGTCTGACTCTGGAAAGATCTACGACCACTGATCCTCTGGGTCCAGCCCCTCCACCTCCAGATGGCGTTCCAACGACAGCGGTTCCAGGAGGAGTGAAAAAGACTGGGAATTCGATGATGCTTCCTCCACCACAACCACCCCAAGGAAAAACAAGCAATTTTATGTGGTCAGTTTGAACCTCTTCTTATCACTTTCTCTTTTCATTTGTACAAGCATGTTTCTTTGCAGCTTCTGCCTCCTGACGTTCTGGAGATCATGAAAGCAAACAAGGATTTCTACAAAAAAATGTGCAAGAATCCTCCCGTGTGTCATCACAACATCGAATCCGTCTCAACCAGTTCCAGCCACTCTCCCATCGGATCCCTGCTCCAGAAGTCCGTATCCCGTACACTCAATCCCCGAAACCATTGAAAATGACCCCACAACCAGTCGCATCCTACCTGTTTTTGAGAGAAAAAATAAGAGAACCTTTTGAAATAAACAAAATTTGTGTGTTGTTTGTTCTTCTGTTGTGCACCACCACCGTTCGTAACCTAACAAATATTTACGAACCTCTTCGGCAAAATTTTGATATAAACGTTAGGCTCTTTCCCAATCTTAAAGTTGGTTCCCGTCAATTTTTTGCTCCTAGCCTCTCTTTCCAAAGAGTTGCAAATGTTGTTCGCCGTGTCATAGCATTCTCTGCGTCTCTCTCTCCCACACTCTCTATTCTTCTTCTTCTCCTTTTCCCTCTCTTTTTCTCTTTCAGTGACACAGAGACGGCCAGCGGCCGGTGCTGCTTGGTACCGACTCTGTGTGTCTGCTTGTCCGTGCCCGGCCGTCCGTCCGTCCGTCCATTCGCTCTCACTCGTCCAAAAAATATGACTGGGATGACGAAAAAAAAGAAGGAAAAACGGAGAAGGAGAGGACGAATGCGTGTGTGTCGTTCTGGGCGATTTTCACTTCTAGGTCATTCGACCTATTCCCCCATTCGTTTCCCATTCGTTTCCCATCTGATGAACTCTCATTCTTCTATTTTCAAATTTCTAATCTAATCTAAATTCCCATTTCCTAGCTGATGAGCACTTTTTCTTCCTTGGTGGGGTTTCTGATCTGATGAGTCAGTGTAACTATCTCAAGCATTTCGAAATCCAGAATTTTCTAGAATTTTCACAACAACATGTTTACGAAATTGGACCAAACAATGTGATGTCCTTGTCCTCCTCCCACTCTCATTTCTCCTTCTTTGCACCCCATTAGAACGGTTTTCGATTGACCCTCTTTGTCTCTTTCTCTCTACTTTTCCTTGGTTTCCCCACTATTTTTGAAGGAACAAGTTTTCCAAAAATTGTATTGTTAACTCGGAAAAAATTCAATCATCAGTTCGTCAGATACAGTACCAGTCAATAATATTTTTCAGTCCATTTTCGGAATTTTCCGTAGTCTGGATCTCAGCTGTCAAAATTGTTAAAAATTGAATTTCCGAATTTCGAATATTAGGAATTTCCTAATTATAGTTTTTTTTTGAAAAAATAGGTTTTTGAAATTCCAAGACAAAAAATTTTGAAATTTAAAAAACTTTCAAAAACAGAAATCTGTGGAATTTCCAGTTCGAAAACTTCTAGAAAGCTGGTGTAAAACAGACCTAATTCACGGAATCAATTCACAGAATTTTTTGAAAAATTCCTAGTTTTTCAGCTTTCTGCCGAATAACTGAAAAACTAGAGATTTTCAAAAAATTTCTGTGAATGGAAACTTTCAATCTAGGTCTGTTTTACACCCTCAAAATTTTTCAAAATGGTCAGAAACTTGACAGCCAAGCTCCAGACTCCTGAAAATAGTCAGAATGGCCAAAAATCAACTCAAAAATGATTTGTTGGGTCCTGTATTCCCCACTATTCAATTAAACAATTCGTCCTAAAGCTGTTCTGTTAATTTGGATTTTTTGCGATTGTCAATCTGTTCGTCAGATACCGTAAAACCAGTAATAGAAGCCCCTCCAAACTTTCAACTTTGAGCCAAAATTTCTTGATTCCTGTCAAAAATATGAAAAAGTTGTCAACTGATAAATTGTTTATCATAATTTCAAAAGTGTTTTGTCAATTTACACATGGTTGATATCTTGCATAGGAATTGATAGTTGAGCTCAAAATTGACAGTGTGAATGCCCTTCTAAATGCAGGTTAACTGTCTATTTCTATCTTGTGGATCAGAATTTTTTAACAATTTCTCAAGTTTCCACTTTTTTCTCACTTGTCAGTTACACTGCCATAAGGGAGAACACAGATGGTAAGTGATGGACAAACAAATCAATACACACACTTCCCCATGACTATCTGTGTTCTTGTGACCTTTTGGTTGGTCTATCTATGACGTCGATTCGTATTCTCGAATCGATCAGGAGTTTATTTGTACTGAATCCTTCATCTTCTTCTGTTGCTCATGACCCAATATCCACCAGCTGTTTCGTTCAGTCCTTTTCGTTCTCGTGATATAATTCTATGTCATTCTCTGACATAAACAAAACAATTGATGCTCTAAAATCAGCTGATCTCCATAGTTGTTTATTTGTTCCCACTGAATCTTTTCTCTCTTTCAATATTTTCAATACCCACCCCTCTTGTTTTTTGAACCTCATTCTGTTTTTCTTCCATCGAAAGAAATCATCCAGAAATTCCCCCCTAATTTTCCAGAATGCCAACTTTCTCGCCGCTCGCGGCTACGAACGAGAAGATTCGACCACTCGATGCCATCTGGAATGAGGAAGACGATGAGGAGCAAGCTCCAGTCGCACAGAATCGTAGCTGCGTTTTGAAAGTCATCAATGTAAGTTTCCAAATTTCTTCTGTGGCTACAGTACTTTTCAGTGGGCTCTCGGTCATTTGGACCATTCTTAAGAGTCTAGAGCTCGGCTTTCAAGCTTCCGATCACTTTGCAAACTTTTTTGAAGGTGTAACAAAGATTGAAAACTTTGCATTCACAGATTTTTTCAAAAATTTTAGTTTTTCAGCTGTTTGCCGATTTTAGACAGACACTCATATTTCAGGGTTTCAGTACAAAATGGACCAAAACTAGGTGTCTTTCAGAAATTGGAAAAAAGGGAATTTTCAAAAAATTCTGTGAATGCAAAGTTTTCAATCTGGGTCTATTTCACACTCTCCTAAATTTACAAAGTGATCGGGCATTTGACAGCCGAGCTACAAACCCTTGAAAATGACCAAAATGGCCGAAAAAAAAAACTAAAAACTACGTTTTTGTATATCTCATTAACTGGTACTGTAATATGTTCAACTTCAGAATAGCTACGCTCAACACATCAAGCTATTCGTCTTGGCCTTCGTGGCTTTGATCCACTTTTGGTATCTCAACGAGTTTCTTGTTAAATTCGCTGCTTTCGACAAAATGGCTCAAGACGTCAGATACGTTAAGCCATATGGAACCAACTATGCAAATGACTACCTTTCGATTCAGTACACCCACCAAGCTCTGATCGATGTAAGCCAATTTCGTTTTTTAGAATAAAATATCTAAAAAGTATATTTTCAGTACAAGAAGAACCTGTGGTTGACAGTTGGTGCAATGTGCGCATCCCTTGCCGCCACTGCTTCTCTCTTGACCATCTACAGCTCCCCACATGATGGATACAATCGTGCCGCAACCAATTTGATCCGAATCTTCGATTTCTCCTCTTTCCTTTTCATCACTTTCCTTCTCTTCGCTCGAATCTCCTACGCCATTCGTCTCAGTACCAACGCTCAACCATCTCTCCGTGCAGCTTCTCGTATCTCCCAAACCATCTTTGACGAGTTTGGAGCAACTCTCGATTGTCGTCTCCACCCAACAATGGATGAAAAAAATTGCGCTTCTGAGATCGTCACGTCGGCCTTCCCATTGCACTTCCTCGAGTATTTGGTCATTTTGTGCGTCTTGACTGCTGCTTATATTGGATTGGGTAAGTTTTGGATTAGTTTAAAACTCATTTTTTAATTTTTAAAAATATTTCAGCCTACTTGATCGAATGGTGCATCCGTCATTACTTCCCACCAACCCATGAGAAGCTCACTCCAATCAGTGCAATCTCTCGAAATCTCGTGGCTTCTTCTCGTTGCTCATCCGACAATTCTGTTCTTATTGCTGCCTAATCATTTCATTTTCTCTTGCATACATATTTCAATTTTCACCGTCCCCTTTTTCACTGTAGATTTTCTTCTATCCCTATTCAATTTGTAGTTCTTCTCGTCATTCTTTCCCTTTCTTTCACGGTGTTTTTTTCGGGACGTCTTGTAAATGCGCTCGAATGCTAATTTTGTCAAAGAGGCGTTGGTCTCGACGCGAAAGCGTCCATCGGAAAAAGCGCGGTAAAAAAACTTATTTGAACAAAAAAACAGTTCCGGAAAAATCACAATTCTCCTAATCAACAAAAGCGCTTATTCCTTAAGGTAGCATGAGCTCCAAACTACCTCCCTTCTCCTTTTTTTGGCTAGTACCTTATGGAATTGGACTTGTGACTCTCAGAGATATTCTTTTTTCTTCTTCTTCTTCTTCTACTGATTTTTTTACCTCTCCATCTCCTCGATTCCCTCAATTTCGTTGGCTTCTGAAGCCGTTTCCCCCCGTTCTCTCCCCCGTCATCTACCTTCTCCACATGTCGATTTACGAGTTTCAACACTCTAAATTTCGCTCTCACCAACACCAACAAATTGTAAGTATTTCTGCCTGACAATAAATGTATTTTTCTCCAGCTACAAATTTGAGATTCATTCTTGCTTCGCGACACTGTATATAGTTGAAAATAAGCATTCACATAAAATGGGGAAAATTATACGGTAAGGAAAAAGAGATCAAAATATGATAAAATGTGTAGAGACCGATTTATAGTTTGAACTTCTTCATCGGTGGAGCACGGGATGTTGATGCAACTGGAGGTGGACGTGGTGTGGGAGGATGGTTCACAGCCGATGGTACCTTCGGACTGGCAGCATCTTCTTTACTCTCTTCGATTCCAAATTCATAAATTAGAACAGCTCTGATCAGTTTCAACTGATTATAGTCTACTACATCTCCAAGAGCCTCTTTCCATGGAGCAAGCCGAATAACATCTGAAACATTTTATCTTGACAGGGAAAAAGCGACGGTTTTCAACTCACTGGAACCAAGATGAGTCCTCGCAGCGTTGAGACAAATCGCAATGTTTTTCCGATTGACATTCAGTTTATCCAGATACACAGGAAGTCCCTTTTCAACAGCAATCACTAGATAATTGTAGACAGTACCCTCACTGATACCGCGTGCTTGAGCAACTTGTTTCTAGAATTAAAAACGATTTGGAAGAGTCATCTGAAAACACCAACCGCGTCTTGTTTGGTCATCAAATGATGCATGTAGACTCTGCGAATCGATTCAGCAAGCTCTTTCTCCATAATAGATGTGATATGGTGTGGTATGGTATCATTTGCACTAACATTCATAGAAACTCCAGTTTCTTGCGAGAACTTCACCACACAATCCACAAAACGCTTTCCATATTTCGTTTTCTGAACAGCCGACATTCCATCAATCACATTCAGTTTTGACACTCTGAAAAATTATATTTTGATAGGAAGATTGATATCAAACAAACGAGCTAGGTCGCAAATTAGCAAAACCATCCAGTACGGAGTTGGAAACGATTTGGAATGGAGCCACTTCGTACATGTTAGCCATTTCCACACGTAGATCATCCAGACAGGTCCGCAATTGCCGTATCTTGAATTAACATCAAGGCTCCCCAGAGAGAATTCAAATATAAAGTACCTTTTCAGGAAGACCTTCTTCAATGTCTTGCTTCATGTTTTTGAGTGGTTCGAAATCTTGAGCAGCAACGTATTCTCGTTGTTTGTGGGCTCCAAGAATCCTTAAAAATTTTTTTTGTATTTTGATATTTTACTGATCCTAAAGTTTCTCTAATTCCCCGATAACTCACTTCTTCTCATCAAACTGAACTGCGTTCGAAGTGGAACTCTTCGAGGCTCCAGAAGACACCTTCGGAACATTCTTCTCCTTCTTCCCTTGCAATAAAACCGGTGTTGCCTCGATTTTCAGTTCTTTTCCATTCAGCATCCACCTCTCTGCCGTGTCCGTCAGGACTGTACAGCTCCCGAATTTCATTTGCATCGTTCTAACGTCTCCCAGATATCCAGCCAATCGGAGAGACGATCCCAGTGCTCTCCACCATTTCTCCGGTAAGCTCTTTCCGATTCCGAAAAGTTGCTTCTGAGATATGTTCTTCATTCTCCACGCTTCTTTGTCCTAGAATACAATTTCATAATGCAGAAAACGTTAGTCGTTACAAACCGATCCTCTCAAAAATTCGATTGGTTTCCCGATTCCAGTTTTTCCGTTGTATAGTTCAAGAATCACTTGGAATAACCATTTGGATTCAGTAGTTACATCAATTGTGCTTGATGTGGAATCTTGATTACCATTCAACATTTCTGTACATCGATCACAACAATCCGCTTGTGGTGTAGCTGCTTTAACGAATGATGGGTCGAAATGTTTCAGAAGTTGACTGGAAGTATATTTCAATGGTTTTACAGGATGCTGCAAAACTTACTATCTTCTGCAACCAACAGTAGTCAGCACGAGCTCTAGCTGTCTCAACATGAGGTTTAGATTCTCCAACACCTCCTCCGACATTTGCGGATTGTTTCGTAGTTTGAATCTGTAACAGTTTGATGTGAATACTTGTACTTTTAAAACTTTAAAACTTGATAGTAGCCAAATCCTTGGGAGCAAAGAAAACACGACAGACACTCGGAGCACCGTCTCTTCCAGCTCTGCCGATTTCCTGGTAGTACGATTCGATATCTTTCGGGCATCCATAGTGAATCACATTCCGAACATCAGGCTTGTCGATCCCATTCCAAATGCGACAGTTGCAACGATCGTTGTAATCTTTAAAAGAAATCGGTATATGATCTAGAAAAACGGAACGAACCTTGTCATGCATGAACTCTTTGTGTGCTTTTTCGCGTTGAGTCTTCGAAAGTCCAGCGTGATAATGAGCAGACCGAACTCCAATTCCTAAAAAATTAAAAAATCAAATTTTAGGGCAAGCCTACAAAAACATACTTCTCAAAACGGTATTCACATCGTCCACCATCTGTTTTGTCTGACAATAAATAATAGTTGGACCACCAAAATGTCTTCCTTTCACATCATCGGTTTGCAAAAATACCGACAAATCAGTAGCCACATCCTTGGAAGAATTCACAGAAATATACAGATTTTTCCGGTCGAACGATGTTGTTGTAATTAGTGGTTTTCTCAATTTCAAGTTCTCGATGACGTCATCTCGAACTCGAACAGTAGCCGTAGCTGTTAATGCAATCAGTGGGACAGTGCAAAGATCGGATCGGTTTCTAATGGCTGCTAAATGACGATATGAATTTCTAAAGTCGTGTCCCCATTGTGAAACGCAATGAGCTTCATCGATTGCCAGAAGGGAAAGATCTGAAAAGTGATGTATTGGAATATGATCTTAAAGAGCTGTAACGAACGTTCTCGACATGCAGATAGAAGTTCCAGTCCTCTGCTGCTTGTTACCATTTCGGGAGACATATATATGAATCTAAAAAGGTTATTCTACTATTAGAAATTATATCTACTTTTTTTTCAAAACCTGATTCTATGCATGTTATTTGAAACTCGATCCCATTCTTTCTGACTTGAGTCACCATCCAGCTTCACAGCATCAATTCCTTTCGCAACCAATGTTGTCACTTGATCATTCATTAGTGAAATCAAAGGAGAAACCACCACAGTCATTGTATTCAGAAGAAGTGATGGCAGCTGATAGCACACACTTTTACCGTATCCAGTTGACATCAGCACAAACTGATCTTTTTCTGCTAACACATTTCGAACGACATTCCATTGCTTATCTCGAAATCCTTTGTGCCCGTAGAATTCGTTGAGAGCTTTCAATGCTTCCGGAGGTGGGTCCACCATGTTAGCCCACTTATTTTTGGTTTCTTTGTCGATTTGAAAACAATTTCCATTTGTGAAAAACTCTCCGTCGTCCAGAAAGGTATTCTTCCGTTTCACAGACGTCTTTTTATCCAGAACAGAATCCACAAACTCAGAATCATCTAGAGAATCATCAAGAACGATTTCTTCTGACTCTTTTGAAGTTTCTCCATCATCCCAAACGTTCTTTTTCTCTTCTTTAGCAACAGATCGTTCTCTTAAAGTGTAACGTCTGTGAGGGAACTCGTCTTCTTGAGTTTCTTCCACCGGAACGAATTCACTGTCATTCCCAGCATCTGAATCTTCTGATGACGATTCCGAGACAACGGTTTCTTCTAGAGTTCGTTTATGGCTCAACTTCTTGGTTTGAGACGGAACTTGACTGGGAACAAAGTCGTCGAACGAATCATAGTCTGAAATATTTTATTCTAAATAAAATCCAAAGAAAAATTACAGAACCTTCATCGACCACTGGTTTGCTAGTCGTCGCTTTATCGAAAGAATCGTCCGATTCAACTTCAGGTTCCGTCTCTCCTAAATCTTCTTCTCCTTCTTCTACATCAGTCTCCGGAAGTTCTTCTTCGTCTGAACCTGGACGAGTTGGCGGCAACTCTTCGTCGTCACTCATCTGTACGATTTCATTTTTTGAATCTTTCAGGATACAATAAAATAGAGGAATATCGTAATAGACGGAAGGTCGAATACACCTTTGTTTCAATGTTTTTGAGATTTATTTTCAGATGATCTCTAAGAGCATGTAACGAGAAAATTGTGTAACAAAAAGAAAAAAAACAACAATGTAGGAAACAGTCAACAATTAAAAAAATACCCTTTAACAAAATTTTTGAATTTCAAACAACAAAACAAAACAATTTAAAAAAATATCAACGATTATCCTAATCTTCATCATTCTCTTCAGCCTTCCTCTTCTCCGCAGCTTGCCGTTTTGTAGCTCGATACGGCTTCATCTCGTCCAGCTTTCTCTTCCTCATTTCCGTCTTCTTCTTATTCTTCTTTCGTTTCAATTCAGCAGCATCTTCTGGAGCCGTGACAGCCAACTCTCGAATCTTTCGTTTACGATCTGTGATCTTCTCGGCGGCGTTCTTCTGGCAAGTGGCCACACGATTACTGTACTCGTCGTCTCCGATTTTTTTCTTGATTAGTCCGCACACTTCTTGCGTCAATTGAGTCAGTTCTTCGTTATCTGAAAGCCATAAATTGATTGGAAAAATAAAACATTCCATTGCTAACCTGAAGTTTTCAACTCTCTCACAAGAAGAGGCATGAAGGAATCAAGGATTACTGTAGTCCGTTCAGAATCTCCAGTGACAAACAAAGCAGCGATCAGTTTGAAACAATTGGTTCTCTGAAAATCGAGCATGGATACTTCTTGAAAAATACTGTTTTCAGTTAACTTTCTACCTTGAGCGTTTGCTTCACAGAATGCTTGATTTCATATCTACAGGCAGCAGCAATGAATCCAACCAGAGTACGGTATTCTTCCGACTTGATATTCTTTGCTAGGAATACAATATTCTTAGAAGCCTGTTCCCCGACGGCAGTGCTCATTTTCTCGTGTCTCAGATGACGACTCATCCAAAAACAGACATCCTTCGCTAGCTCGTTCGGAACTTCCGACAACTCGATTTGAGAAAGAAGCTGTCCGATGAGTGTAGACGCAGCTAGCATCACTTCAATCGACTCTTCACACTTGCACAGCTCCTCCATCGACCGAATGAATTCGATAGCATCCATCTCAGATATTGCTGTCTTTCCTACATTGATGATAATGCGAGTGAGCCCATTCAAAATGACTGTGATTGAGGTTTCACTGTTATTCTCAAAGACATCTCCGTTGAACAGTATTTCCTTGACTTGATTCACAATAGGTACCAATCTATTCGCCATTGTTTCCTTCTCTACGTAGCTGAGTTGAACTGCGGTCTGAATTCCAACAGCCCTCGCGTTTTCCTGAAAAATGGTTCCTTAATTTTTTTTAAATCCACATTGCAAACGTACATCTTCTGCCTTCAACCACTGACAGGCAACTTCGAAAGTCTCTTGTCTTTGTGCGGGGCCAACTGATTCCAGCAGATGTCGAAGAGCTAATCCAATGTGGTTAGCTACTTTTTTTGACTCGTCATTCATCATTGCAGCACCCATCTTGACGACGCATAGCATGTGAAGAGGCGCAAGAGACTTCTGAATTTTCATAATTGATTTTTTCTCATTGGCACTAAAAATGTGTTACCGCAACAAGATTTTTGAACAATGCTGCAAGCATCTCGGCAGCACTCATTCGTCCTGTTTCATATTCGTATTCCAGCTGATCCAAGAAGAATTCAATGTGTTTCTCGACGTTTTTATCTGCATCTGATGCTCCGCCAATATAATCCAGAAGTGTCTCTCGGCACTGTTCTCTGATATTCACTAATGGTGATCTGATCGAAGTCTCTGCCAAATGATCCATAATCTCTCCAAGTCGCTCATGTCGAACACCTCGCTTCACAAGAGCTTTTATCAACGAGAACATGGTCGCTTGTTTGTGTTGGTCCATGACATCTGCTTCCGCATAAGCCAACAATAGCGTCAGTTTGTCATTATCCAAGAAAACACTTCCCGTCGTCGCAATCAGATTGGTAAAGCCTTTGTAGATCAACTGATTGAGAAGTACGATAGCTGGCTTGTGTCCGGCTTGCCCAATTGAAGAATAATCACTGAGTAGCACGAAAAGAGTGTCGGAGACTCGTTGAGAGTTCGCAGCCACTGCAGGCAATTGCATTTTGATCATGGAGCAGAGGGCTCGCATCGAACACGAAACTAGTTTCTCGTATTTGAAATCGAAACAGTCTAGGATGAGTTTGACGAATGGATTCAGCCGAGAGACCATCGAATCGTCAGACAAATCAAACTTCTTTTCTTTCAGCAGAGAGGAGAATAACAAAACGAAGAACTCAGCGAAGACGTGATCACGGCTTCTGATAACAACCTTCGTCATTGCACCGATTCTCTGAGGGGCAGCAGCAAGGATAAGGCAACTTTCTGGACGACGACTTTTGTTTTTCGCATCTTTTTGTCCATTTTTAGTCTCCATATCCATCAGTTTCTGAATATCCGAGGTGAGCGACTTGAAAATGTAGGTCAACAGGTTAGAGTGATCCAGTGAATCGTTATCTTTTAGTCCTCCAGCAAATTTTGAGAGAAGAGCCGAAACTCGTTGAATCGCTTTAGCTGATGGATGTTCGTTGACAACGTCTCGGAATGGAGCTAGCACCAATTGAATTCCAGCTGGTGACACAATTCTTCCAAGATGGAGCATCATTTCTGGAGCACGGTTTCCCTTGGCTTCTGGGCATTCTGCTTTGACTGCACCGTTCTCCTTGTCTTCGGCAGCGAACTGATCCTTGATACACATTTTTACGATAACACTGATAGCTGAATCGAGCTCTCCTCCTTTCATTGCATTCTTCATTGCGACGATTAGTGTATGGACGGAGAAAATGGCCACGTGGACCTGAAACCATACTTACTGTTAGTTTTAATTCGGAATCTGGGTTTATTCTAAACCTGGAATCCTTTTGTCATCGTCAAAGAAATCTCTGTGATCACTGAAGCAAGATATTTGGGTCCCAAGCATTTCACAATTTGAACCAATGTCTTCCTAGCCGTCTCACGAACATCATACGAATGTGTCATCATAAGATTACACAATTTCAAGATGACTCTGAAATTATTATCGTTAAAAACAATGTCCAAACTAATAAGTACCGTACCCATGGAGATGTTGTCCTGTCACTGAATCCGGCAGTTTCTGCAGAAGTTTCACAATCGCCAGAGCGATTGGAGCACGTTGAATATCGAGGTGAAGAGCCGTAGCGTGTGTCTCCGCACTCCTAGCGTTCTTCTCCACAGCTTGTGCCTGCGAATCCAAACTTTTCGAAAGTCGAGGAAGAATGACTCGGCTGATTCTTTCGAGAATTGTCTGCTTCTCACTCTTCACAACTTCTTTTCCGTCTTCTTCGGTGGTAACTTCATATGTCTCTCCTTCCTCCAGTGTTACATCAAAGTGGAATGCTTCAATAACAGCGACAACAATACGGACAAGTGCTTTATCAGTGAACTCGTTGTCCTTTGTAGCTGTTGCTTTTTCGACTCGGGCCAACCAACTCTCGAGGTAAGAACAATACTTTCCCCATGGCGCTTTTGTCATGATCAGTTTCAAAAGTCCCAGTGACTCATCGGAAATCGCATTGAATTTAGCGGAATAGTTGACTAGGTAAGGATGAATGATTGGTACCAAATACTTGTTCATGGAATTGAATGAAACGTTCTTCTCGCCACTTGCTACTGATTCGACTAGTTTCGAATGGCTCTTTGTCTTCTGTAGAGTTGAATGTGATTCATGTTTTTCAAAAAATCCAATTCCTCATTGTCATTTGAAAATTCATCCAATTCAGCTAGATGTTGGCTCTCCTTGAAACCCTTTGTCATCACTCCCAGAGTATTGAGTGCTTCTTCGCGGACAGCCTGAAATGATACGAATAAAATATATGATTTGCTTGAACGAATCCTTACATCTACTTCATGCTTCAAGAAAGCGATGATAGTTGGATTCAGATAAGCATCAAGGAAGAGTCGTTTCTCAACGACAGGCAATGTTCTACCAGCATATTGGACCATCGCTCGAACGTTGTTTCCAGCAGTCATCCGCAGGGATAGGTCATTCGTCTGAAAATACATTCATGAGACAACAGGACGATTTCATTTAAAAACAAACCGTAGAGATAAGATGGAAGTGAGAGCTCAAAATCATGGCCAGAATAGTATGATTTGTTGGTTCCTCGCTATTCCAGATTTTCATTAATTCCGCGTATGCTGCATATCGCCTTTCAAAATGAGGTTCATCCACTTTCGTTTTGTCCCAAGCATCAAGTTCGCATAGAAGATGCAGAGTTTTTCGGATATTCTCATCCAAGTTCTTCGATTCCACTAAACCTTCAACCATCAAAACCAGTGCGTCTCTCAGTGTTCTGCCTTCCATTCTTACGAAAAGTCTTGGGAATTTGGGGAAGTAGGATTCAGGATCCTTGAGAAGAGGTGCGATTCTAGCCAAAGACTTCATCATATTGACGAGTGTCTCTTCATTACACTTCCTTCTTTCGACACACAGAAGAAGAGGAGTTGCGAGACGATTGGCGACGTCGTCTGTTTCCGATACAAAGTCCGAGAATCGTTCAAGAAGAGTGATACTTTCAGGAGCAGGTCTTTTGGTCTCGGCAACTTCTCGTTCGATTTGATTTGTGAGGAATTCAAGAACAAATCTTGTTTTCCGGCTGAGGAGAGTGGTTCCAAAGTTGACTTCTGAAAATGAAAAATTTTTTGTTTTAATTTTTCGGAATCAATAAAAACCATAAGTTATTGGTTCAAAACTTACTCTTTTTGGTTTCAATCTTCTGACAATCAACCAAATTAGAAATCTGAACCATTGGCTCATCTGCGAGTTCCGATAACTTCATGATTCCATTCCGAATGGTTTTTAGCATCAAATCGAAGCAACCAGGCCAGAGAAGAGGACCAAGAAGAAGCTGAAAAACAGGGTTGCTATGGCTTATTATTCCAAAGACCAGCTTACATCTAATGTATCACATTTTAAAACTTCATCTTTCTGTTCCTGAATTCTCCATTTGATTGTAATGGTCAGCAACTGATAAAGAGACGGGATTTGACAGATCGAGGCTAACAGCTTCACAACTGCGAACGGTGCCACTGGAATCATTTGCTCTGTTCTGAAAATTTTTAATTTTTGCTTCTAACAAGGATTCATTTTCAAAAACTTACCTTTGAATGACACTGACAAGAGGCATTTCCTCGACATAATGGCGGAAAATGGTGTCCTTGATAGCGACGATTTCTTCTTTCGAAAATTCGCGATCCGGGAACGCATGGAACATCTGAAGGAGAAAAACTTGATTTTAAGATCAGTGAGTTTTTATAAATGCCTCGGAGAGTCGTTCACAAACGCTCATTCTCAACGCCTTCACTAGATCCGAGTGCATCTCCGCCTTCTTTGCGTTTTTGCAGACAATTCCACAGGTGAGGATCACTTTTAGAATCATACGTTGCTCATTGCCTGTCATTGATCTTGCAATCTTTTTCAGCATTTCAGAAACTCCATGAAGAACGCTGCAAGAATAGAAGATAATTATCAAGGTGGTGTCATCATCCGAAATTCCTTTTCTCGGAAAGTATACATGTGCTCCGATAATATGTGTTGTTGCTCCTCCTTTCTCTACTTCCAAAAATTTCATTTATAAAAGATGTGTGTTGCCCCAATTCAAGACATTTCTTCTTCTTATTTTTCTTTTTTTTCAACAAGTGTCTGGAGAGAAATAGATAGATTGAGATACACTTCCCCAACAACAAGCAATCGCTTAAAGGGAAATAGCTCTTTCTCTATAAATCCGGCTTGAAATAACTGCCAAAATATAAGATTATCCTTATTGAGTCTCCTCCCAAAACACTCAAAACCATTTCACTTATAAATTCTTCCATCCCGAACGCAAAATCCAAATTCCCACATTCTCCAAAATCAGCGTGAGAGCACAAAATTTTCTTCCTCCTCTTCTTGCTCAATGTGCAACTCATCGAAAGCAGTCACACTTGATACCGAACAAGTGCATCTCTTGACATCCCATCATTTTTTGTGTCCTCCTTTCCCCCCTTTTTCTCTCTCAATCAGACTGGGATTCATTCGCCTTATAATGCACTTTGGGAGGGTGTGAATAGAACCCTTTTTGCCGGCTGGTAATGGTTACACGCCTCCTTTCGTTCCTCCTACTCAAAACATATAATTACTTCCGAACAACATCTTCTACAGTACTCATTTACTTATGAGATTTCTTCTTCTGTCACATAAAAACAACAGGTCCAACTTTATTATTTTTCTTCTTATTTCTCCTGTTTTTCCCTCCCCTTCGATCTATCTCTCTTCGTTGTTCCCCCACCCATCAGAAACCTATGTAATGCCACCTTCACGTAACATACATCCTGTGCCCTCCACTTGATTGACAAAAAATTTTCTTCCCACTGACGGGAGCCACTAGAACCGAGACCGGTGTGGTTGGGAAGGGATGAATGACAAACAACATATTTCATGTTACTAGCACCTCCTCATGTCCCCTTGGTGATTCACTGCTTTGTTTTCGACACTTCCGTTTTGACTCCCGAGATCTAGACCTGACCGCTGGAGGAGCATCGTATCCGATTTCATTCAAAGTAGTGATCCCAGTAATACCCAAACCTAAGGTTGCTTCCGCCAAGAAAAATACACAACTTTTTATATCTTTTCACATCATAAAATAACCATGATCGCATGTCTTGGAATCTCTGCGTTTTGTTGAAAACGTAAAAAACATATGTACCAGTGTTTCCTAGCATATGTAAGGAGAATTTTTTAGCTCACGTCTTGAGTTTGAACGAGACTACTGTCAATATTCAGCTTTAAGATTTTCAGAAGGATATCTTCTGAGAATCCAAAGTATTTAATTGAACCCTTGTTCCCATTCAATGTGAAATGTGAAATGTGTTACATTCTGCTTCTTCCGTAGCTCTCGTAACAAAGTGATGATATCTCCCGTATTTCTAAGTTTCCGTTTTCTTCTTCTTCTCCACCCCAAGAGTCACAACTGTTCCCTTCTTCATTTCTTCCGTTTCACCGCCATTGCCCTCTTGTCAGAGACAAACTAACTACCTTCGTACGAGTCATCGCATAAATAATCGTGTCAATTATCTCGGTCAGATGAAATGATGACTGATTGAGAGACAAGTCATATCACCGTCATATCAAACTATCGCCTTAGAGCCAACTTGTGAAATCGTGATTTTACTCTTCTATCTCCTAGATTTTTCAAAAAAAATATCATCCATTTCTCATCCTCTTGTTGATACTCCATTCCTCTGTTAACGACCTTTTTAAATTGCAGAGCACTTATCCATTGGGGATGCTTTCTAATGTTTTCTAAAAACACTGCTGTCTTTCTTCTTCTGTTTCTATTAATAAATTACAATAAAGCTTCTTCTTTCTCGAAGAGTCAGAAGCGTACGCTAGCTGACCGCTGCAGGTATAACCTCACTATCAGGCTGATAGTATCAGCTATAGTTCAGAGTTGAAAAAAACCATGAACTCTTCTAGGTTCCCCGGTGATGTTCACGATATTTGGGCGCACTGTCAATGCGTATCGGTACCTAGCGTCACCGCTCCCGGAATCTTCAATCATGAATCTCCTATCCACATTATGTGTCATCACACGTCTTCTGCGACGGTCCCACAACTTCCAAACGCCGAGACCACAAAGGGTCCACCTCCACACATTGTTGCACTTTCGATGACAGATGGATCAATGGCTTTTGTGCAGCAAGACGCTTTCAAACAACATGATATGCAAACACTTGATTTTTCGAATAACCAAATTCAAACAGTCAACGTAAATGCTTTTCGAGGTCTAGAGGTGAGAATGGTTTTCATTTAGCTTGAAACTTCTAAATTATTTGCATTCAGATGAAACTCACACAACTCGATCTCTCGCACAATAACCTTTCTGTGATTCCGACATGGGCACTGACCTATCTTCATAATCTTCAAATTTTGCACCTCGAAAACAACAGAATCGATGTTCTTCGGTCGAATACGTTCGATGAAACCCAGCTGAACAACTTGCAGTTCCTATATTTGGACAATAATCAGGCAAGCTGATTCAGAAGTTCCAATAGATAATAATCACTTATTTCAGCTTCGAATAATACCCAATCTTGCATTCAATCATCTTCGTCTTGTAGTCTTGATGCTGGCTAACAATAGGATAACAGAAATTCAGAAGATGTCCCTACCCCACACACTGAACTTTTTGGTTCTCCGCAACAATCTATTGACTCAGGCATGCACTTTTAATACTTTTTCTGAGGCATTCGTTCGATTTTCAGATCCCATACGTTGCTCTGAATGACTTGAAAATGTTGCAATCAATTGATTTAGAAGGTAACAACATAACTCATCTATTGGATACAAACGAAGTAACTTTCGAGTCTGAAATGAAAGTGATTTTGAGAAACAACAAAATTCGCCGACTCGATAAGAACTCGTTTCGAAGTTTTCGAAAAATTCGAGAGCTTGATATCAGCTACAACCAAATTCAAACTATTGAGGATTCCTCCTTCGAAACTGTTGGGCATATGCAATCTTTAGACTTGAGCTACAACAAAATTGCTTATCTGCCACGTGGAATGCTCAAAAACTTTGCAAAGACATTGAAAACATTGAAGTTGGCAGAGAACATGGTGCACGCGACTCCAGAAGCACTCCGCGATTTGAGAAATTTGACTCATTTGAATTTGAATGGAAATAAACTGAACCGGATCGATGGTGATGTTTTGAGAGGTTGCAAGGATACACTAGTGGAGCTATTTATTGCTAACAACTATTTGGAAAACATCCCTCATGGAGTTCTCAGTGGAATGAAGCAACTCGAGCATTTGGATATCTCGAAGAACAAGATAATGACATTGAAGAAGCCGTCGTCATTGCTTTCGATTACAACAGATGAAAACTCGAGTGTACGTCGTTTGAATTTGGCTGGAAACAGAATCAACAACATGAGCGATGTTCACATTTTTGAGCATATGCCTTTTCTGACCTACGTTGATGTTTCTTTCAATCGAATTCGATTCATTTCACCAAGAGTTTTTGAAAAACTCAAGAGTCTGGAGAGCCTCTTCTTGCAAGTAAGTGTCATAATATATCGAGTAATCCATTCAATCATTATTCAGAACAATCAAATGACCCATTTCCCATCATTATTTCGATTGGAAAAACTTCGTCATCTGATGTTGGACAATAATCAGATTCAGAAAATTGACAACTTCTCATTGGCAGATCTTCCCAAACTGCAGCATCTTTCACTAGCTGGAAACCAGATCGATCTGATCACTGAAAACGTGAAAACCAACATTTGAGAAGTTTCGATAATTATGATTTTTAGATGTTCGGATCCAGCAGCTCTTCAGAATTGAAATCCTTGAATCTGGCCCATAACAAAATCTATACAATCTCGAGTCGTTCTTTTTCCGATTTGGATAACTTGCAACAACTTCGGCTTAGTCATAATAACATTCGAACTATACCGTCCATGACTTTTGCCAATTTGAAAAATCTACGCTATCTAGATCTATCTCATAATAGAATCATCAAAATTCTACCGAGTGCTCTATACCAACTGCCAGCCCTCGATGTACTTCATTTGGATCAGAACAACTTGAATGAAATCGATCGAGACGCGTTCCGTTCTTTCGGCGATCTTCAAACATTCAAACTGTCTCACAACGCATTCAGAAGATTCAGTTGCGAGTTTTTGGGCAGCATTACACAGATACATCAGCTGGACTTGAGTTCGAATCAGATCAATGAGTGAGTCTTCGATATCTATGCACTGCATAGTATGCAGAAATAGTATGCAGAAATGTGTAACTTCTATTCAGAATCGACGTGTCATGTATCGCTCGAGGTCTGAGGAAACTGTCTCTGGCATCAAATAGTGTTGAAAAAATACATAGGAAGCTGCTACAAGATGCTACTGAACTGGTCTCAATCGATATTTCTCATAATGGAATTATCGATGTGGATAGTGATGCGTTTGCCGAGTGTCGAAAATTAGCAGATGTGAAGCTTTCGCACAATTACATCAGGAATTTGTGGAAGGGCACTTTTCAATATCAGGTTGGACTATCTTTTTTATCAGTGCTAAAAGAGTTCAGTTTTCAGGAGAAACTCCATTCTCTGGACATTTCTTTCAACGATATTCTCTTTCTGCATCAAGGCACATTTGGCAAGAACAACATTCTACAGCTACATTTGAATAACAATAAACTGTCGAGAATTCCACTAGAAGCACTTTCATCTACAATGACATCGTTGCACTTACTGAATCTCTCTTTCAACAACATAAAGTAAGCGAAACTCATTCGTTCAGATTGATAGTATTAATGATTCAGAATCGTTGATTCGTCCCAACTAACATCATTCGGAAATTTATCAGTTCTATCATTCGCCAATAATAAAGTGGACTCAATCGAAGACGGAGCTTTTGAGAATCTGTTGAGTTTGAAGATCCTAGATCTCTCTAATAATCCAGTGACTTCATGGAGCCCCACAGCTTTCCGTGATTTAAGCCACTCCATAAGCTCCATCAACATGGCTAACACCGGTCTATTTTCAATGCCTAAATTCAGTCATCGGTCCATTCAATCGCTGAATATCAGCTGGTGAGAAAAGCTTTTTTAACAGATGAGATGATTTTTTTTTCATTCAGCAACAAAATCTACGAGCTATCGGAACGAGATTTGGCACCACTGACCAAACTTGTGGCTCTCGATATCTCTCACAATAATTTGAAACAAGTCAGTCCTCTAGCATTCGAACCTCTGATTCATCTAAAACAACTAAACATCTCTGCCAACCCGATCACTCATCTTACGAATGATCACATACAACAGCTATATCAAGTAAGTTGAAACTACTTCGGAATCCGAAATTCCATATACTTTCAGTTAGAGACACTTCACATATCGAATATGCCATTCCTGATCCGTCTTCCCGATTCACATGCATTCAGTCAGATGAATAACTTGAAGAACTTCTATGTAAGATTTCCCCCCCCCCCCCCCCCACCTCCCGAACTATATTTCTAAAATGCTGCAATTTCAGCTATACAACATTCCTGACATGGCTCGTCCTTATCAAATCAGCTCAATACTTTCAAATCTACCACCGTTACATACGATTTATGTGGATATCAAGGAACCAGTTCTTGATAGACAGTTCTACACAGCTGATACAAGATTACTACGACATTTAGTAGTGTTCGGAAAGAACATGACGCAGCTTGATGTTGGCGCTTTTGCAACAGTTCGAGGATTCAAGGTTCGAATAGAAGTTCATAACTCGTCTATTCAAGAGTTTCCAACGAGAATATTCGAAACGCTGACAGGAATCTCAATTTTGTCGTTGAGGTATTTTTGTAAAGATCGAACATTTTTAATAATCCTCTTTCAGTCTAACAGACAACAAATTGACAACGTTCAACCCATTCCAAACAGCAACAGCTCCAGTTGTGAATCAACATGGGACAATTCTACATTCCCTTGAGCTACAGGTAGCAATTTCCTATTTTTGAAATACCCACACATTCGGAATTACTTTTTTCAGAACAATCCAATCAACTGTGACTGCCAGTTTAAATGGGTGGATGAATTCATTCGTGTGACAAGTTTGCTATCGGACCATCACAAATCTCAAGACTTTGATAAAGTTGAGTGTGCTGATTCACAATCGTCAAACTTGGAAAGTTTCGCATCAGCGGCGAACGAACTATTCTCGTATCGAAAGAAAACGACTCTTCTTTCAAAATCAGATGATTTCGATGTCGAGTGTGCAGTCAAGTTCAGTCGACATAACTCCTTATTTTTGTCGATTATAGTTTCAATTTTCTTGCTAATTCTGTGAGAACTCTTTCCCATTCCTTCTCTATCACGGGTTTCTAACAAATTTCGAATTTCCTGATTTTGTCTACGGTTAATGAATCTTTCCCATTTTCCTGGTAAACTTACTTCTGGAATACTTTGATGTGAACATTTGTGAGGAACAATAATTTGGAGCATTTCTTCTCGATATCCTCAAACGTTTCTCCTTGGCCTGAAACAGACAATTCAATTTTCCACATCCAAACAGCGATTTCTCACCAAAAACTTTGTAGACTTGCTTGAAAAATAGCTGAAGGAAGAACGTCAGCTCGTCGCTACGGCATCCACCAATGATGTAAATGATTCCATTTCGTCGTGAAATCATGCCTTTCTGCTTGTTGTTGATGAGCAACTTTCCACTAAGCAAACGCAAAAGTATCGGCACAACGACTGATCGATGCTCGTCGGCTACCTGAACGTCACCTTCGTCATTGGACAGTTTAAACGACGGAAGGGTTTGTCTGAGTGTTTTCTCGTCAATCAAAGCTGCCAAATTCTCGCGATATTTGGCAAGAATCGTGTTTCTGTACGAGAAGATACAAGAGAGCGCAGCTTTTTGAATACTCTCATAACGTGATCCAAGAAGTTGTTCATACATTTGCAGAATTTGCGGCTCCATATAAACAGACTTTGCAGCATGGAACTTGGCGTAAACGCTCAGAAGAGCCGTCAACGTTTTCAGAACAACCGTTGTTTCTTGCTTTTGGTTCGAAAGGGCTTCTTCTGATTCTTCTGGTTGTTCGTCGTCATCTTCCTTTTCACCTTCCTCGCCTTTCGGAATAAAAAAAGTTGGAACCACAGAAGCCGTCAAACGCATATATTCTTCGTAGATATTAAGTAGAAGAGGACTGATAACTCGTGTTCTTCTTTCAACAACATCTGGAATGGTTTCCATGAAATTGAACAGTTGCATTCTGGCATTCACAAAATCGGAACGATTCGTTTGATCGATGCCGACAAGCCTGCCTTTCTCCGTTTCCCGCTCTCCATTGTTGATGTCTAAATTATATGGGTTTTCTAATGATTTCTTCAACTCTACAAACACTTACTATCATTAACATTATTGATCCATAAATTCAGGACATTCCAGAAAGTGTCAATATTCATTTCATTCGCGAAAGTTGCCAACACTTCGTAAACTCCTTTCCAGAGTGGGGAGAACCCGACGAAGAACTGGGAAACCAAATCAGCAACAATCATCATTTCAACTTTTTCGCTGGAGCCAATCGGAATAAACTCTTTATGATCCCCATGACGAAGTTTTCGGAGATGCAATAAACGTTCTCGGAAGTTGGTTAGCTCGCTGTCCTCTGCTTCATACAGAACTTCGAATACTGATTTCGTTTGTTGACGAACGTTTTCTTCTTCATCGACAATTTTAGGTAGCGGTAGCTCAAAACTGCTCAAAATCTTGAAGACCTTCTGCCGAACTAGACCATTAGAACTGAAAATGGCAGGGAAAAGCAAATCAACCACTTTGTTCATGTGTTCCACTTCTCGAGAGACTCCGTACACAGAAACAAACATTTCGAAAGCAAGAAGCGAAGATTCAGAGCACTTTTGACGCCTAGAATAATAATTAGGTTGGAAATATATAACAAAAAACAACATACTCCAGGAATTTCTCAACATCTTCCTTTGGTACTTTCTTTAACAAGTTCTTATTGGTTAAATAAAGACCAGCCGTGCATGCGTTAACGAGTTGACCATTCAGAATGCTTGTATTTGAAGACTGGATTGCTTCCAGAAGAGTGTCGAGGATATCTTCCGATCCCTTTACAGAATCAGCTTGCGAATAAAGCCAGGGCCACGCCACAACCATGTCGATGATGTATTCAAAGCTGAGCGTTCTGCGAATTTCAACTGTAAAAAAATCGTGTTAATTTTAGAACCGCAATGGGATTATAGTACATTTGAAATTGTTTACAAGCCAATCTCTGAAAGGGTAATGGTTGGAAAGATCGAAGAAGTTGGATCGAGATTCTCTGTCCACAGTTTCTCTAATCGGGCGTCTGGTCGAGCACAGAATTGAGTAGAAACTGACGATTTGTTTCATTAAACTGCTATTATCCGGATTCTTGATAATCTCTGTTGCAATTTTTCCCAGCGCAGGCATCATGTACAAATCAAAGGATTCCAGGTTAATGGTCTTCAACAAAAGTTCAATGATGGTTTGGTAGTTTTTCGTTTTTTCCACAATCTTCAGTGCAATATCTCTTGAAAACAGTCGATTTTTGTCATCGTTGAAAATGGTCAGCAGTGTCTCGCTGATAAAATCTACTGAATAATGTTCCAATTCAAAATCCGCAACTTTCACTGCGTTCTCAAGACTTTTCTTCAGCTCGGTCACACAAACGAATTCCACCTTTTCCGCCTTTTTCAGCTCATTCTTTCCCTTATTTTTCTTATTATCTTTCTCTTTCTTCTTCTTCTTCTTGGTCACTTCATTCATCAATTCTTCGTTTTTCAGAACAATGCAAGGATGGAGCAAACGCATCAAACTGATCACCTCTTTCATTGTTTTCGATTCTCCAAGCATAGTCTGAAATTCAATTCGAATCGTTGAGCATCTCATGTTTCAACTCTCACCGTCAAAACATTCTGATAAAAGAATCGTTTGTCGTTGGTAGAGTTTCTAGCGTATTCAATTGTGTACCCAACCATCTGCATGAGAATTTTGACACAAAAATCATGAAACTCTTCAGATTTCTCAACATCTTCAGACTCGGCATGAACGAGAGCGTGAACGATATCTCTGAATAGCTGCTCAGAATTGCTATGAAAATTTCCAGCGATTCCAACAAAAGTGTTGTAGAAGAGAAGAGCACAACCGTCAGAAAGATAGTTATGGGGTGTTTTGAACGATTGTTTCGTTACGAATCCGGAAATTGATCGCAAATCAGTCGACTTGCGAAGAAGATACGCAAACGCTTCAGCAGCGAATCGGCGGGCAAAGTCTCTGCTACTAGCGAATAGCGGTAGAAAATTTCTGAAGGAATATTAATTTGACCTGATTTCTGTGCAACACTTACGTGAACGATTTTTTCAGTTGTTTTGCAAGAAAATTGGCTTGAACCTTAACAAGAATCGAAAAACAGAGATAGGCAGCTTCCATGTTCTCGGCCACTCTTTCACCAAGATCTGAAAGTGAATATTCGAATATTTGAAGTCCTGATTTTCTCTAATTTTCATACCTAAAAGATTGACCAGAATTTCTATCGATTTCCAACAGTGTCCATTGAAATTCTCTCGAAGATCTCGTGCAAGAGCTGAAAGAATTCCACACAATGCAGGAATCGAGCGTGATTCTGGTTTTGCTAGGTGCTCGCAGAGAACATTGAAGATCTCATCCGATCTGTGCAATAATTGAGCATATGTCTTGATATCTTTCACTTGAATGGCCATGATAAATTCTTCTGAAAACATATTTTGATAGAACAAGGCCTAATGAATGATAGTATCTTACGAAGATCTGGACCCTGGTCCTCTCCTCTCCAATTTTCAACAGCATCTTCGAAATACGTTTCGTAGGAAGTGTCTGCAGTTAACTTTCGCGAAAATCGACCATTATCACCACCCATTTGTGCAATCCGCTCATTGAAAGTGAGATACTGAAAATGAGCATAAAACTTAGGTTTAAAGAGAGACAGACATACCTTTTTGACTTTTTTAAATTGCTTTTTAGCTGCATAATATCTAGCAAACAATTCATCCTCGTTCAACTCCTCCATTTTTGCTAAAAAATATATACATCGAATTTGGAAAAGTATTCTAGGTTGTTAATGAGACAAAGTACACAAAATATATAAATTTTCTTTTTTTTTTTAATTTCACAATTTTTGACATCGTCAAAACATAATTTTGCCAAATATTTTAGCTTAAACTATCAAAAATAAACATGAAACCTAATTTTTTCTGAAAAAAAATGTATTCGCAAAATTTCTGCAAGCGCGCTCCAGTGCGAATTTATGATGCGCGCGCTGTTCAAATAATGTTTTTTTCCGGAAACTGCACCATATGGTATCATCACCCAAAAACTTTTAATGTGAAAGTTTCTATGGTTAAAAATATTTAAAATCTTTTTCAAAGTTTTGCAGTTTTCCTCATCCAAATTTCGTTCAAAGAATTCAGATATGATCCAGATGTTATCCTCTGAAAAACCAATAATCTCAAGGTTAAGTAATTCTTTATTGTCTTGATTGTCGTTTGATTAAACGGTTCCTATTGAAGTACAACATAAAAAATGCAAAGATCAATAACAAAGAACAAGAAAATGAGCATCCAATCTGAATATTTGAAAACAAAAATTCGTTTGTAGATCCGTTTGAATTGAGAACAGAAAGACTGTAATAAGAAAGCAGGTCGTGAGAAGACACTTTCTGGCATGGCCCTTTTGTAACTTGAGTCATCTAAATTTTTAGAATATATATGAAATAGAAAAATAGAACCACTAACATTTAGAAATGTCCTTCTGCACGAATACAGCTGAATGGGCGAAGATAGATTAAAAGTTGGTTGAGGAAAAATCGGGGCTTTTTCTGAATTTTTTTAAAAATTGATTTCGAAAAAATAAGTTGAAACCACCTTCGTAAAGAAATTTGAAAAGGAAGAAGGATGGAGAGAAAACTGGACTGAACGTTTTGAGCATTGAAGAAATTGGCACCGGGAAACCTGTGGAGATGAAGAAGAGAAACCACGAAACTACTGAAATACGAAAATTTGAAAAAAAAAACGATTTGACGATTTTCTCTTACCAGAAAAGAAAAAGGATAAAGGTTCGCTGTGTAAACTGCACAGTGAATTAGCAAGCAGTTGTGTTACAGTGATATTGAGAAACATCGTAGAAGATAAGGAAACAAACGAAGTTGCATAGCTTGATGATTTCCGTTGGTAATCTAGAAAATGATGAGATATTTGAGTAAAATTAATTAAACATTGAACCTGTGAAGATGGAAACTGGAATAGCAAAAACTGCGGAAGTTAACATTGTAAATGGTAGCTCAACAATTACTGACAAAACTACAAGTAACAGAGACGAGCAGTTGTTTCGAAATGAATATAACTTCAGAAATTCTTTCAGACGATGTCGACCTAGAAAATAAAAATTGAGATATATTTTAATAGATTTCCACTCACTTTTCTTCAATATCAACAATCCCAACAGCATAGGAAAATATAGAATAACTAGATCCATAAAAGAATTTCGATCCAGAAATGCATCAGGGAGAGTTAATGTGAGATCTGATAAATAGAGAGAAAGAATAGTGGATAAAGAAAAGACGAAAAGAACAAATCCCATCCGAGACACTCGATTGTTACTGAAGTTGAACCAGAAGAGACTGAAATTTTAAACTCGACAAATCTTCTTTGATACATTTTACCTCAACACAGTAAATGCTCTCCTTAGAACTCCAGCTGATGGTAGATCAAGAAGAAACTTGCCACTAGCAGTTCTTCTTACCGGAGGAGCAGTCTGGTTCCATTTATTCACAAGTCTCGCTATCCTCACTGATGATTCACGAGAAGCATCTGATGTCAAGTTGTCATGAGTTACTAGGTCAACTGGAAGTTTTCTTTTGAAAACAGTAAAGTGGAAAATAACATACCGTAATAGTCACAAATATTCTTATATGGCGGACAAGGGCAGCCAACAGATTCAAAGTATTGTTGCATAGATTTTGGAGCTCCAAAGTAGACGACTCTACCAGAAGCAAGTATCATTGCTGAAATGATTTGATAAGAAGAGAATCAACTGAAAAATAAAACTTTTAGAGAACATCTTCAGAATTTGTGGACTTGTTGGGGACACTGCCATTATAACAATCCGATTAGTTTTTACTGCCCATTCTCTGAGATACTCAATCAAAAAGCATTGATCATGAACATCAATATCCTTGAAAACGTCGGAAATCACCAGAATCGTAGGATCTCTTATTAACTGAGCAGCCACTTTGACTCTTTCCCATTGAGATCGATTCAGACGACTGCAGATTATATCACATACTGGCATCAGGCCAAGATCAGTCATCAGTTTGTTTATCTGAAGTTTATTAATTTCTGGTTTCTCCAGTGCATAGGAACAACAAATACCAGATGACCAACTCCTCCATATCTTTCTATCATTGGTGGATTGAATTTTCCATGAACATGAAGATACTGACGGACAGTGAGAGTAGAAATAGGTGGCTCCATGGACACGAATGCTGAAAAAATATGTTTTTAAAAAATTTCTGAACAGTGTGCGTTTTTCGAAAAACATGTTTCGAAAACGGCTAATTTCGAAAACTCGTTTTGGGTCATTTTAACATGCTGGACTAACTTTCGCAGGTTGAGTTTTCTAGGCCACTATGGCAAATCACCTAGAAATAACCTGCTTTTTACCTGGTGGGGTTTCTATGCCGGTTTTAACATGATGGCCTAACTTTCGCAAGTCGAGTTTTCTGGGCCACTATGAAAATGACTCAGAAAACACACCAGGTGAATATCAGATCATTACAAAGTCATCTACCATAGTGGTCTAGAAAACTCATTTTACGAAAGTTAGGCCACCATGTTAAAATGGCCTAGAAACACCGCCAGGTAAATATCAGGTCAGCTCATGAGCCCCAAAAATTACTGACTTAGAAAACTAAAACCTTTAAAAGTTAAGCCACCATGTTAAAGTGGCCCAGAAAACACAGCAGGTGCATGTTAGATCATTTCTGGACCATCAACTTCGATGGCCTAGAAAAATCATGTTAGAAAGTCAATTTTGAGTTCAATCATCTCAATTCTTACAAAAGATATACAAACTATGTCAGATAAACAACTTTTTTGTTTACAACTTTTTATATGTTTTTGACAACAATCGGGATAAGTTGGCTCAAATTTAAAAGTTAGAGAGCCCTTCTAATACATGTTTTATTATAAACTCACCAAGAGTCTTTTCCAATCGATCCCTTGACATTCTGTGCCCATTGATTAGAATATCTCCAGACAGTTTTCCTCTCAAATCGCGAATTCCACAGATGACTCGAAGTAAACTCAACATTTCAGATTCTTTTGTGTACAGAAGTGCCATTACATCAGCACTTGTCAACTCCAGCGATACATTATGAAATTCCTGCTTCAAGACAGGTAAACGAAGAAGAGCTTTGTCAGAAGACGATCTGAGATCTTTGGAAAATGAAAGTTTGTTAAGGAGAAGATTTGGGTAAGGACGCATAGATATCGAATTGATTTCATCGTACTCAAGATATCGAATCACTCTTTTTTTCTCTTCTTTTGTGTTATGATTAAGCATATCAGCAAAGAAATGGTCAGCGTGACGACTTCTGATTGTAGAAAAATATATTGAATCTCTGAAACATTCAAATAATAAAGTTCCAATTTTAAAAAACACTTACCTTCCACTACTTCCATCTTCTTCTAGAGTTTCGATGCGAACATCTTCAGAAGACATTTTATCTTCTGAAGAGTAACCCCCAAAAGGGAATTTCTGAAAAGAAACAAAGTCAAGTGTGGTGTGAAACCGGTCAAGATGTTTCACAGTTGGATACTTGTCAGTCTGAAGAACTTGAGACACATCGGGAATCGGAGAGGCATGCAATTTTTCGGGATTGGGTTCATGCAGGGAAAAATTGAATAGGCGATTAGCCTCAATTCGAGAAACGAATAGTAAGAAAGAATGGGGTTTTCTGGAAAGATCAAAAGAAACGAGGTTGGCAAATTTAAAAAGAATCAGAAGCTATGTGACACCTAATGGAAACCAGTAACTTCACTTAAAAGTTGAATGCTTATTCTTCCTTTGCAGGTGGCTGTGTACAAAAGGATTCACGGTCTCGTGCCGACAAAAATAATTGCCTTCTTCTTCTCCGTCATCGGTGCGATGGTATTCGTCATGGAAAGAGGTATGCGTGAAGATTAAAGAAGAAGAGACGCAGCTTATTCAGGATAATTGAGGACAACGGAGGAGGAGTAGGATTCCGGCGCGAGAAAAAGAAGAAAAAGGAGAAGTTCGATGAAGTAACGACGAGGGAAAAGTTCGGTTCGCTCACCGAACTTCAAATCGATCAGACAAAATGACTGAAAAACATGTTCTCGAGTGTAAGAATATTTCTTTTATGACTGCGATTTCCAATGGGTCTTGGTAAGTCTAGTTTCCTTTTTCTACAGTAATCCATTTTATTCTTTGTATTTAAATTCTAGGTTCACAAAGATTTACAAGCCTCCATCCGTGTTTCAAATATTGAAGAATGTAAGTTTCACTGCTGTATCCGGAGAAGTTCATGCCATTGTTGGAGTTGCGGATTCCGGGAAAACCACACTTTTGGAGGCATTGACCAGTGGAGCTGGAGGAGATATAGGAGGGATTGCTATGTTGGATAAGTTTATGCTGACTCGTAGGTCTCCTTTTTGTGTAGCAAATAAAACATAATTGAAAACTTAGGACGTCGTTTCAACAAGTTCTGCTCTCATATCAACTACCGTAACCAGTATCCATCGTCTCTATCCGTTCGATCTTTGCTCTACTATCACGCCCGTCTCTGTCTCTCCTCAACACATACAACTCTCGAAATCGATCATCGAGTCAGTGACCTCTATCCTAAATGTTTATTCAAATCCTACATGATGATTATTCTATTTTCCAGATCAGTGAACTGTCTGCAATGTTTGATGTTCTGGGTTACGCTCATGACAAACTTGAGGAATTGTCGATAAGTGCCCGGAGAAGGATCTTGACTGTTTTAGAACTTTTGAAGGATCCTAGTGAGTGATTGCCTCATAATTACAATACCGTACCGACAGTACGGATTGATATACGAAAACATATTTTCAGTGAATTTTTGCTTGTTTGAACCATTTTCACGAGTCTGGCTTGACTGTCAGGTATTAATTTGAAAACGTTGGAAGGGGTAAAATACATAGAGCTAGATTGAAAACTCTGGATTCATAGAATTTTCTGAAAATTCATAGTTTTTCAGTTATTTATCGATTTCTGAAGGACACTTGCTTTTTTAACCGTTTTTAGAGCAAAACAAGAAAAAAGCAGGCATCTTTCAGAAATCGGAAAACACATGAAAAACTAAAAATTTTCGAAAAATTCTGTGAATGCAAAGTTTTCAATCTAAATCTGTATTACCCCTCCAAAGTTTTCAAAGTGATCGGACACTTGACAGCCGAGCTCCAGACTCCTGGAAGTGGCCAAAATGGCCGAAAATCAACTATAAATAGGTTTTTTGTATATCTTATTGACAATGCAATTTTTCAGTTCTGACTATAATTGATGATCCGACTGCTGATCTGTCGCCTTTGTCAGCATATCAGCTAATCTATGCCCTTCATTTCTACGCTGCCAAATTCAACCGTATAATTATTATCACTCTCCGAAACGTTCGTTCCGATCTCTCCCATCTTCTTGGTTCAGCCACTTTTCTCTTCTATGGAGAAGTGGCTTACTGTGGACCGATGCGTCTTCTACCAAATCATTTCAAAAAAGCAGGATATGAATGCCCGACAAATGAGAATCCAGCTGCATACTACTGTAAACTTGTTGATTTTTAGATTGCCACAAAATGATTTTTTACAGTAGCCTTACTAACAATTGACAAGGAAAGCATGGAAAAAGTCATGGAAACTCAAGAGAAGGCTACCAAACTTGTCGCATTTCGATCTGTAAAATTTCAGTATTCTTATTGCGTTTATCAATTTCGCAATCTTTAGGAAAACGAAATTCCATCTGAGGCATCTGGATTGACGGCAACAGGAACTGGAGTTCTTCTGGATTCCAGCAGGAAGAGTCCATCAACAACTACCGTATGCTCAATCTTATTTCGTCGAATGCTTTCAATTATTGCTTCCACTCCTTCTACAAGTTTAGCTGGTCTGATAGCACTTCCCGTTGTGGCTGCGATTTCGTCATTCATGAGGTTCGATAATCAAAATTCTATTCTGAAATTGCTATTTTTTCAGACCTACAAATCTACCTTCTTCTTTATTTTTCTGGAAAAGTCTCACATTTCTGTTTCTCCTTATTCAAATTTTAGTAATCTTTCCGAATTGTGAGAACCCTTATTTTTATCTAAAAGCTGTAACCGAGCACTTTTTCAGACACAAAAACTCGTCTTCTGAGTTTCCGAGAATCCAATTCCTACTGTCAAACCACAAGTCTGGCCATCTTTTCCTTACTCTTTCTTCTATTTTCTTCTTTACAATCCACACTTTTTGTTGGAATTGTATCTTGGTAAGGGGCATCTCAAGTATTTTTCTAAAAAAACCAAACAGTTCCAGGTCTTACAATCTCAATGGAACTTTTCAAATCAGTCTTACCATATTACTGGTGTCATTGTTCTCGTTTTCGATATTTTCAATTTGTGCCAGATATTTGAAAGATTGCTCTAACATCATTTTCCTGCAATCAATTATTCTATTAGCATTTTTTGTAACTGGAAATGGAGTCACCAGGTATACACTCTAATAGAAGGTCACCTGCACTTTGAGCTCAATTATCTCGGTTCCTGTGAAAAATATCAAAAAGTTGTCAACTGATAGATTTTTTATTATGTCAAAAATATTTTATCATTTGACACATTGATGATATTATGCATAGAAGTTGAGATAATTGAACTCAAATTTGACAGTGTGGAATCCCTACAGGTTTTACGAAACTCTTATTTCAGAACGTCAACATCATCTTCGATTCTTTATTACGGAGGAGTTGCAAACCCGTTCAGTTATTCCAATTTTATTCTGTCGAAAATTTTATCAAACTCAACTGAAAATGAAGAATGCACATACCCAAGTTACATTTGCAAGTGAGTACTTCTTGCATTTTTATCATACTTGTAATCCGGGCCTTTGCCGGGCCTTCGCGGGCCCTGCCATAATTTCTCTCAGAATCTATATTTTCGAACCAACTAAATCAGATATGATAGAGTACTACAAAACGGTATTATTTGGAATACTGTATTTTATCTATGAACAAAGTTACAGATCATAAAGTGGCTTTTCTCGCAGGGCCCGGCAGGCCCGGGGCGGGCCTGCTTTTTTTGCTCCTTTTGCTCTGTAACTCTGTTCATAGACAAGACACAGTATTCCAAATAATACCGCTTTGTAGTACTCGTGGAGCTCTATCATACCTGATTGAGTTGGTTCGAAAACATTGATTCTAAAAGAAGTTATGGCAGGGCCCGCGAAGGCTCGGCAAAGGCCCGGATTACAAGTATGATTTTTATAACTTCTAATTCTTGGAAAATTCCAGATTATCGATGAATCTCCATTCTGATCTATATCCACCGTGGTACACTCCAAACGACACTCTCACGAATTTTTTAATTCTTTCCTGCCTGAGCACAACATTTCTTGTTGTTTCTTTGCTAATTCATTTCACTGAACCATCAGTACAACTTCAAAAACATATGAAAGCTTTTTAATGTCTTTTTTCGCAAGAATAAATTTTGTTTTTTTTTCTAAATATAAAGTTTGCTCCTGCTCCTCTCCCATAAAAACGAAACGACTCATCACATTTTCCGTGCTAAAGTCAAGTCCAAAAAGAGAGAAGATTTTCAGGTCGCCGAGCAACGCGTCACAACCCTTTTGTTCAAAAACTCGCCTCCTACTAGCTCTTTCTCTTTTTCTTTTTTGTCTCGTTTCGTACCAAATGGCATGTAAGTTCAATGTAGTAGTAGTCGTTTTTTTAGAACACACACATTTTACAGTCTATAATGACCCATTCAATGAAGTCTCGTATGTCGAATTGAACAAAAGGCGACGCGGCGACGCGGCTCGACACGAAGGAGACAAATTGGTGAATCGAATGAATCGGCCCAAGGTCAAGAAGATTTACATCAAACGGAATGGAGAGGATATTTACGAAAAGTAAGCTGATGTTGTTGAGGTCAAAAAGTATTTCTTGGCTTATTTCGCCTATGTTAAAGTCATCTTGCGCAAAGGAAAATATGTTTGCAGACCGAAATTGTTTGTATGGAGGCAATGGCAGTCTCCAAAGTTGGAACAACTTCTGGAAGATGTGGGGCCATACGTTGGGATGGATGATGGTGCATCTGCTATTTACACTTTGTAAGATTTCAAAAATCTGACTTTGAAGAACGTTCTGACATAACAATCAACTTATTTCCATTGTTTAAAAAAGTTCAAATTTTTGAAGAAAAAGCTCGGTTCGACCCATTACGAGTCTCTAGGGTTTTTTGACTTTCAGAGAAGGAGAAGAAATCATAGATCCCGATGAAATCAATGATCTCGGCACCTATTACATTTCAGGAGACGAATCGCTTATGCTGTAAGGATACCTCTTTACCCCTTTTTGATTACCAATACATTTATTGCAGACCAGAACCAAATGATCGACGACGATCCAGTGATCCAGATGTTATGACTTCCCGAGGAGAGAACAATCATTCCAGATACACTTCCCTTTCTGCTCCAGAATATTATACTTCTAACTCTGTGAGGTCTACGTATCCTGCAAATTGTGAGGCAGACCTTGATTTTGAACTTTTTAATTGAAAAAAAAAACGTTTTGAAGTGACCGTTCCCCCAACACCTCCACCTCGACCTTACACTTCTGTCCAAAAAACCAAAAAAGCAACGACAAAAGCAAGAGAAGTCGACATGACCCAATATGATTCATATTATGACGATGCACTTCAGGATGTGAGAAGTAGGAAAATGGATTATTTCTAAAAGTTATTCTTCTAGTTTCAGATAGAAGAGCCGCATATCAGCCTAGAAATTTCGACACCACCATGGATTTCTTTGAAGGAAATCCGCATTCCAGTGAATTCGACAACGAGGAAACCATACGAAAAGACAAGCAGGCTCTGGAAAAACATCGACAGTAAGATTCAAACGTTTTTAATTACAGTAAATGCTCTAATAGAATGTCACCGTAACTCCCAACTTTAAGCCAATTCATCTCAGTCACTATTAAGGATATCGGAAAGTTGTCAACTGATAAAATATTAATCATAATATCACCAACTTTTTTTTAGTTTAAAAATTTTAGATATCTTTTACAGGAATCGAGATAATTGAGCTTAAAAGCTAGGGCGGGTATCAGTTAGACCATTTTCGATTATCTCGTTACAATCACTTACTATCTGTTAGAGCATTTTCGATTATCTCATTATGATTATTGATTTCAGAAAAATGGCAAACCATTCAAGAAGATTGAGCACCATGATATTCAATCGTAAGGATCAAACTCATCCCGACGTCTACCTTATCTAGTGAGTCCGTGTCTCATCCATTATTATTAGTGTCATTTCCCCTGTCTTTGTTATTTCGTCATCTCCTGCAAAGAGAACAGACGTTATTGTTTGCAGTGTATTCCTGAACGGACAAGGAATGGAGTGCCAGTTTATGAATTTTCAAAGAAAGCAGTTGGAAAAAGGAATGAACTATGTTTTGGAGTTAATTGCGCGACGATATAATGTGAATCCGGGAAAGTTGGTTGATATGGACGGAAGAAAAGTGTCAGAAGTAACGCAGTTGATGTCCAGAGGTTCTTATGTACTCATACCTGTAGGACAGTCCTTCAGAGATACTTGGTACTTTTTACCTGATAATGCGATTGATACGAGGTGAGAACTGTAATAGTTTATCGTGAAACCTGTAATAGAAGGGCCCCCACACTATCGAGAATACTTGCAAACCGGGCCCTGGCATGCCTTCGTGGGCTCTATTATAGTTTCTTTTAGAATTAAGAATTTGGACGATCCAAGTTAAACATGATAGAACTCAACGAGCACTACAAAATAATACTACTTGAAAAGCTGTAACTTGCTTATTAACAAAGTTATAGGGCCATAAAGCGGCTGATCTGGGCCTGCCTATTTTTTTCGGGCCGTTTTGTCTGTAACTTTGTTCATAGACAAGATACAGTTTTGCAAATAATACTATTGTGTAGTACTCGTCTAGTTGTATCATATCTAATTTAATTGGTCCAAAAATATTGATTCTAACAGAAACTATAACAGAGACACGAAGGCCCGCGAGGGCCCGGTTCGCAAGTATGTTGTCGACTTTGAGCACAATTATCTCAATTCTTATGCAAGGTATCAAAAATGTGTCAACTAATGAAATGTTAGTGATATTATGATAAACAATTTATCAGTTGTCAACATTTTTAAATCTTTGACAGGAACCGAGATAAATTGGTTCAAAATTACAAGTTAGGTAGTTCAGGTTTACAGTGTTTCCTAACACCCATAAAAATATCATTTTTGGTTTGAGAATCTACAAAATAAAGTCATTTTCAGTTCAAACAAAGCTATGGTAGAGGAAAGAAGTGCCCAACGTGATCGTCTTCTTCAAAGACGACTGAAACAAGAAAAGAAAACGAAAAAAAGAAAATCATCTGAGCGGAGCAAATCAGTCGGAGCGGCGTCGTCTACCAACCCGAAAATAACATTCAATGGAGGGCGAAATAATCGTTGATGAAATAATAATAATGATGATAAGAGTTGAGTATCTGTTTCAAATAAAAATCTGTGGTTTTTAAAAATTATCTATTTAGCAAGAGTACGGTATAACAAGAATTGAAAAAAAAAACAAGGAGTGAAGAGTGATAAGTGTGATTTTGATATATATGGAATGGGCAGAAAGGGGCATTGGAATGAAATAGCTAACAAAAATATAATAAGACACCTTTTTGATTTTTTGAGTTTTTTAACCAGTAGCATAGGAGGGAAATACACGGGTGGCGATACTGAGTGAGTGGATGAATGTGAGTGAGAAAAATAATAAACAATAAGACATTGATAAGTTGAAAAAGGCGATATAGGGACGACTAGAATGTGAATATAGGGAAGATTTAGAGCATAGAACAACACTTTGATTTTCGAGATTTCAGTTGGATGTTTGGGTTGTCATCAAATTTGTCCTCTGCAAGAGCGACGTTGTCCTTTCGGATCAAGGTGAGTTCTTGTTTCTTTTCGGATGTTTGTTGGCGGCTTTGTAGAACATCTTCGGCTAATTCGGATAGGATTGCAGCGAACACTGGAAAATGTATAAATTTGAATTTGTTTGAATATTTGGTTAAAATTCGAAACTTGATGTTCACCACAACTTCCTGAATCACAGAATACAAACTCACAATGTGGCTCTTCGTTCGAAAGTTCAAAATATTTTGCATTAATTTTCGCAGCCATCGCTTTTCCCTCGGCTTCCGAAACCTCTCGCTTCTCAGTTAGATCCGTTTTGTTCGCGATCAGAAATACGTTCGCATCCTCTGTTCCACTGGATCTATCCAGGTCCTTCAGCCACTTTTCGACGTCTTCAAAAGTGCTTCGATCAGTGACGTCGTATACAATTAGAGCAGCTTCTGCGTTTCTCATGTACATCGGAACCATACACCGAAATCTTTCTTGTCCAGCCGTGTCCCAAACTTGAAGACGAACCATGTCATCTCGAGCATCTCCACTGAAAAATGATGGATAAGAGATCGCTTCCAAAATTAGGAATAACTTACACATCGAAAGAGACAAAAGATGCTCCAATAGTTGCATTGACTGGACGATAGTGGGCTCCATAACGATGACGATAGATGATTGAAGTCTTTCCAACTCCAGAATCTCCCAACACAACGACTTTAGCTTTGTTCTTTGGGGCTGATGACGTGGCAATCGCCTGTTCATGATCCCGAATCGCATCTCGGACTTTTTCGGAAGCATAGATAGATTTGATATCACAAGATGAAGACGGAGAGGATGCAAGCTGGTGTTGATGTGGTAGCTGTCGAAGTACTTGCATTATCCTGTCTGCAAATGAGAAATTTGAGTTCTTGAGGAATATCATAACAACTGAACACAGAAAAATGACGATCATATGTGTTGTTCAGAAGAAGGAGAAGAAAAAGGGGGCGGAGGCAGGGTGCTCCTCGTCACTGATAAGTGCGAAAACGTGCTGTTGGACAATGAATGTGGAGAAGAAGAAGAGAAACGAGGGATACCCATCGCTCCGCCTTCTTTCGTCGCTAGATTCTTATCGGCCACCCCCTTCGAGGAAACTTTGAGGGGAGAGCACCGATCCATTTCTGGACAAGACAGTAAGCTTTGCTCATTGATCACTGACAGAGAACATATGATGACTATATAGAGAGGAGGAAGAATCATAGAAGAAAATGAAAAGTGTAAGAAGTTTCATTAAAAACAACAAAGACATTAATAAGGATCAAACACACTCTTTAGACATCAATTTCGGAAAACGGATGTTTGATTTTTTGCATGAACGATATAAACATTCAGGTGTGTAATTTGAGAAAGCTGGAAATAAACTTCAACCTAGTTTACTGTAAACACAATTAGAACGCCACACCCCCTTATCAACTTTGAGCCTATATATCTCATTTCCTGAAAAAGATATCAAAAAGTCTTCAACTGATAAATTGTTTAAATGTCATAAACAATTTGTTAGTTGATCACTTTTTTACATACCTCACAGGAGCCGAGATAAATTGTCTCAAAGTTGGAAGTTAGGGGTGGCGCTTTATTAGAGAGTCTTCGGTATGTCGAAGGTTGTGCAAAATTGGTACCGAAATGATTTAACTAACAAATAACCTAGTAGAAAAGTGTTTAGAAAAAAAGATCTAGATTTGAAATTTATAGAGTAATTGGCTCACAGTAACCCAAGGCAGCACTTTTGGTTACTGTAGCTAACTCCAAACGGAACGTTAGAGGGTTGGTATGAAGTAGAAAAACAAAAATATGTTGTAGCCGGAGCTACAGTAACCCTTTGTACTTTTGAAACAATTTTCTACCCGTTCAGCTCAAACCCAAAAATTTAAAAACTGAATGGTTGGTTTCTTTTGGGGAGAGGGGTATAAATACGGAGACGATGACATATCGAAAAAATGTGCAACCAGTTGCAATTATTTTGATGATCGAAGCGCTGGTACACGTATGGTTCGATATTAGGTATTTATTCAAGTTATCAGTTTCAGATTAGACGACAGCCCCGGCCCCGGTAGGAAGGCAAAAGAATCAACATAAACACATGTAATAGGCCCCCATTTCATCGCTTACACCTTTGAAAAACGGTGCCAATAACAAACAACAATGAAGATATTCTTGTCTCTCAAAAGAAAGACCTGAATATATTCAAATATTCAATGATCTCCGATCAGGTGACGAGGTGGATTCTTATCTCGGGATATCTCCACGTGGGAGATAATTCAGAAAATGTAAAGATTGTCATCTCCAGAGGAAAGGATTAGATATATCACTTACAAGTTTATAAGTTTTGCCTGTTCCAATGAACTTATGTGTAATGTGGCATAGTTGGAGATAAAGCATAGAACGCGCTTTGATGTGTTGACCATTCAGATTTATCTAACCTTGGGAAAGAAATGTCGGATTGAGGGGAATGATACCAAAGGAGTGTGCGGGGTTAATAGCGATAATAAATTGTACGGAAATAGTGTTTTGGTTGTTGACAATATGAAAACATGTCAAACCTAAAATTGAAGGGTCTTAGATGGTCGCTGCTGGTGACCAAAGATCAGAAGAGCACAGGAGGGAACGGTCATCGAACCAAAGAGTAATTGTAAATCGAGTGTCTTCTTGTTCTGTCTCGTATGAGAAAAGGGGTTCCCCCGTAGAGATCGGCCATCATTCATTATGCAGAAAGAAAGAGAAGAAGAGATAGAAGAGGTGCGAGAGAGAAGGGGCCGTTTGTCAACGACGACGACGGAACCGATATTTCGTTGACAAAACACTAGCGGTGCGGACGAACCGACGAGGGATACTCTAAAGAAGTTGGTGAACACTGGGGGCTCTATGACGTATGTTGATCTGATCGAAAAGATCTGAGAAAAGATCTTGAACCTCGTGGGAAGGTGAATGCATCAAAATGAAGGAACGAACTGGAAGAAATCGGAGCGGTGGAAGTGGAATACCGTAACCTAAATATAGTTTTATTTTCAGAAATTATTTTCTTGATTTTCACTGATTTTAGTCGAGTTTTCTGTTACCGTAAACACTCTAACAGAAGGCCACCCTATACTTGAACTTTGAGCTAATTTATCTTGGATTCTGGAAAAGATATAGAAAAATTGTCAACTGACAAAATGTTCATTATAAGATCACAAATATTTTGTTAGTCGATCACTTTTCGATATCTTTCACAGAAACTGAGATAAATTGCCTCAAAGTTGAAAATCAGGGATGGCGTAGATGTCGTTGTGAGATCTTCGGTCATGGCTTCCTCTTCCACAGCTTTGTTTTTTGTACCAGAATACTACTTTTTTTGTACCAGAATACTACTGATAACTCCGACCACGTTGTAAACACTATTATTGATAAACAAGTAATCAAATGGTAACCTTTATTCTCAAATCGATTCTAACTTCCGTCCTGCTCGTTTGTGCCATTCGTGCCACTCCACCGTAATCTCATTTCAACGCCGTTTTGTCCGCTATCTATAGAGACCGACTTTCGCCTAACATTTTATGTTGTTTATATATCGTTGACAGGAAAAAAACGAAGAAAAAGGAATAGATTGACTTTTGGGAAAGAAGCGAAAAAGTTGAATGTGTCAGCAGAAAAACGGGCCCCGTCATTGTTTCCAGTCAAACAAATATTTTTGTACGGTAGCGCTTCTTTTCCTTTTTCTTCTTCAAAAAAATCTGTGTATTTCTGCTGACACGAAATAGGAGAAGGAGAAACAGAAATTATGCAAATTTCATCGACATCTCAACCAGTTTGGGAAAATCAAAGTAAACTTGGACACGTCATACACCGTCTGTATTATGTCAACTGTCAGTCAAGGTAAGGCATTGGGACCCATTTTGTTTCAGTGAATGATGTAATTCGATAGATGGTGAGGGGGCTCAAGTGCTGTCTCTTGTACTATCTAATACCTGACTAATAAGGGGGTGAGAGGTGAGAACGTTGTTTGGTTAAGTGTACTAGTGTTACATGTTACAAGTGTCCATTCACTTCCTTTTCTTTTTCTACTTTTTTTCAATTAAGGTTTCTTTTCAAAACTTTAAATATATTGAGATTTTTTGGTAAGAACAATAATAACTGTAAAATACGTTAACGAAGCCAAACTCAATGTCTCTAATAAGTAAAAAGAACATTAGGCATCCCCATAAAAGAACATTCTATCAGAAAACTCAATAAAAAGAAGATAGAATAATCGTAACACGACTTAAAAATCAAAATGAGGTGAGAAAGAAGTGTAGGAGGGTCGAACGGCTGGTTGGAGGAAAACCATGCTGAAGAAGTCTTATCAGTGATCGGTCGACGGTTTCAACGAAATGGAAAACCGCTTTTCCTTCATCACTGATAACCAGAACATGGACATTGCTTGTTGAAACTTCAAAGTGTGAGAATTTTCTCGAAAGAACAGTATTTGCTGCAAAGACAGTTTCAAGCAAAAACGTCGGAGAACATTTAGCAGAAGAGCCCAATGACGAATCAATCGTTGCGACGTTTCATTATTGTTTCTTTTGTATGCCGGGAACTGTGGGAACAAGAGATTGGAAGCAAAAAAACAGCTTTTCCTCACATATAAACACCTACATTGAACTATAACACATTTTTATTTTTTTTTGAGACTAGTTTTCAGACTAGTAAGTCCATGTTCCCCCTTTCTCCCCAAATTTTGTTGTTAGACCTGCAGGCCCAAGAGACCCCGCAAATTCCGGAGAAAAAAAAATTTCCGGACCGCATCCAAATGTGCTAAAAAACCGTGCGGCAAAACCGTGCCAGGGTTGCAATTTAGAGTCCGCCCCCGACTCCGCTCACTTTTCTCCGGAGTTTTTTTTTCCCCGGAGTTTTTCCCCCCGGAATTTCCGGGGTCTCTCGGCCCAAATTATGAGTGTAGTAACTGCGCCCCATTGTACTAATGCGATGCGCGGCAGTCAGTTATTTTCGAATAATCTTTTTCGGCTTCACACCGGAACGTTTAATTTTTCAAAGAATTTTCAACGTTTTGAAAAAAGAAGCAATTAAATTCTAAACTATGTCACTGTTAAATATCCTCGTGTGCTTTGCATGCTTCACCACCCCGCTGTTAACCCTAATAAATGTCCGTTTTCGTTCCCAGATCAAATATGAGCATCACTACTCATCATTTGTCAAACCTAACGTACGACGAAGACTGTATTCATTCAGTGGTTTTGGAGAAGACGCCTTCACCACCGCCGAAACCGCCACGAGGGATATTAAGAAAAGGTCCGCCAATGAAACCACAAAGAAGCGCATTAAAAATTGATCCGATTCAAAATGGTATTTGAGCTGCAAATGAATAAAAATCATCAATTTTATATATTTCAGACGACAAAGAAAATTGTAGCCAGCCACAAGCCAGATCTCAGTTCAAAGCCAAAGACATGATGGAGCAAATGCAGAATTATTTCAAAAGAAGTATCGCAGTTCTCCGCAGCAGTGGAGATTTCACAGGAACCGAAGCAGCGGATATTTTGACGGCTTACATTGAATCGCACCGAGACGACTTTCCAAGAGAAAACGTTGGAAGAGGGAATGCTGTGAAACTTCTTGGGATTTGGTTGGAATCAAAAACGATTCACAGCGTTGACGCTCATCAGAAAAAGTTTCTCGATTCAGAACGTGCATTCTACAGATTGGGAGGGGAATTGGAAAGGTAAATACATGCATTCAAATTCAGAAAAATGAAATTAATTCATTCAATTTTCAGCTTGTACATCGTCAACACTCCAAATACAACAAGAGATCACGATGAGTTAACATCAGTGCAAAGGTCATCGAGTACTCGACGAAGCAACAGTTTCAAACGGCTTTTCTCTCCACTCGTTCGCCGAAATCGCTCTAACTCTCGGGGACGTGATAAGGATAATGGGAAGGATGGTTCTTCGACGCTTCTCAAATCCACGTGGAGTATTTTCTCTTCGTCCGACAAACTCGAGAAGAAAGTACGCAAGGCAGAACAGCAGCTGATAAAAGAAGAGGAAGCCGAAGTGTATGAGTTAGCATTATTCCATTTGCTCAATCTAATTGAAGTTGAGTTTCTAGAGGATGTTGCCCTCCCAGTGCAGGACGTCAAGGTATAAAGATTTGTTTTCATCAATTGAAAAAAAAACATAAATATGTTTCTAGAAAAATGCGTCATTCTTATCATCAATATTGGAAAAAGTTGGGCTAGGATCGGGAGAAGAGCGGCTAGAACCACACCAGGAGGAGGAAATGGATTTGCTCATTGAAACGCATCCATTGATTCGAGAAGCGAGTCAATGGTTTCAAATGGCTCGTTGCTGTGCTCCGTTGCTTTATCTGGAGAAGACACCGGAGAAAAGCTCAAAAATGCAACTATATTTATGGTGTAGAGCAGCATTATCATCAGTAAAATCTCGTCTTGAGAAAATGACACAATGCGGAAGCTCTCCACTATTCCCATCAGAATTCGCCCCGCTTCTAAACAAAATTGCTCAACAATTGATCAACGACATGGATTCAGGAGACAAATTATCCACCGCCATCATGTACATATTTCTGATGGTTCCACATCCACTTCGCAGAACCATCGATGATATCGTGCAATGGCTTCAACTCACAATGCGAACAGATTCAGTCGAAGATCTCAGAAGCCCCTACTATTTAGGGAAGAAGGATCCACGGCGATACAAGGAGAATGTGAGAGTTATAATTGAAGAACTTTCTCCGTTCATATTCCCAAAAGGATGCATGACGAATATTCAACAAGATATCTTTATTGAGGTTTGATCATCTTTTCTATTACAATTCTTACGGAAAACTTTTCAGACCCTGGTCGAATTACGTCAAGCGAAACGCCTGGGACAACGTCCACCACAACTAGAGAACTCGTTACGAGCAAAGTGTGTGGTTGGAAATGTAACATGGAAACGGAAAGAGAGAAAGTATAGTAACACTCTAAAATCACTATTGTTTTTGTCTTTTGGATGCTTCTCTCTGTTTGCATGGTTATCTATCACCTTCAAATTATCTGTTCATAGCATTGATCAATTGAATTTTCAGACACAATTCGGCTGAATGTGACTTAACGCCGGTACGATTCACAGTGGCTCGAGAATCCATTAGAAAGACAGTCAACAATGGATTAAGCGAAACAGAAGCTGCCCTGGTGAAAATGATGAATGTAAGTTGGTTTGAAAGTATTATAAATGCAATGCTTTCCCATTTTCAGGACATGATCGACGATAAGAAAGTACCCCTTGGCGAGAAAAAGAGGAAGCTTGCAAATTTCGAAAAACACTATCCAGGACTGTACAAAAGCAATTTCAACGGAATGCTGTAGATCGTGCCATCAGTGTCATGATTGCATTTTTAATTCAGATAACTTCATAATAGATTTGCAGGATGGTTTCGAATTCATTTACTTGTTTCCCTCTCCTCTCGAAATGTTTCTCTCTCATGCAAAATACTACTCTCTGTGCTATAAAGATACTTCATGCTTTTCTGTATCGGGTTTTGTTTGATCCTTTTATAGTATGGCAAACCATTTTCTTCCCTTCTTTCTTTATATAAACTTTTCTCCCCGCTGAAAAATCTGTTGCTATTCCGGTCGAAACGGAAACGAACGAAGGAAATCTAAACTTGGGATCTGATTTATGAGATCGCGCGCGCCTTCGCCCATACCTTAATATATTTTCTTTGTTTTTATTAGAGAAAATTGGTGGAGAAAACAAAAACGAAAGAACTTTGAGCTACAATACCGAAGCCATGGCTTTCAGCCAACGCATTCAAACGTTTCTCATCAAACCAGACAATTAACTTTTCGCCTCGTTTCTTATTCAACTGTCCTTCCGTATAGTTTTCCGCATTCCCAATTCGAGTTGTCATCGTGAAGATGCGTCGTCATCTTTACTTTTCTTACCACTGAAAAGCTTCATATTATTCGTTTTCCGTCCTTCAAACCGTTTTTTTTCTTGTGGGATTCCTACATTGCGCAGTAGTAAAACGGATAATCGAGTAGCATTCGTCAGTTTCTCGAAAGCCGCAAAAAAATAGGAAGCATGTGAGAAACAGTAATACTACGAAAGAAGAATCTGGCTGGCCGGTGACGCCTGACGGACTGACAGACGGACGGACGGATGACGCCGAAGACGATGACGACGACGGACACCTATTATTCAGCCGCACTTTAATAGGACTTGCAACAGCACGAAGCGGTTTGCCACTGTCGATCCGCCCTTCTCTTTCTCGGGCTAAGCTATTATTGTCTCTGAAATTTGACTAGCCTAAGGAATACGCAACTTTTCGTTTTTGAATAATCTTCGGTTTCGAACAAAATGTTTCCTATATTCTACCTTTGGTTCAAAATTTTGAAATATCTAGTTTGCATTACTGTAGTCCTAGTTTGGATTACTGAAGTTCTTTGTAATTTTTGAACTACGAAAATATAGTCATAAGATATGAATAAATTTTTGTAATATTTGAAATGGTGTTTCTATAGTTCTCTCAAACACTATGAATATTCTCGAAGCTGTCGCTTTCTGAGGTCTTTACTGTACCTACAGTAGCCTTAAAAACATCCCATTTTATTTTGGAAAAATTTTGAATTTCAGATTTTTTATAATCTCAGAATTTTAGAATTATAAATTTTCAGAATCTCAGAGTTTCAGAATTACAGAACTTTAGAACTCTAAAATCTCAGAATCTCAGAATTTCAGAATATTAAAATATTGGAGATTGAGGTTCAGAATCTCGAAATCTCAGAATCTCTGAAATTCCGAAATCCCGAAATTCAGAATTCCAGTTTTTCAGAATTCCAGACACTCAGGAATTCAGAAATCCAGAATGTCAGAAATTCAGAAATCCAGGGGTGCAGGATTCCTGAAATTAGAAATTCCAAAAATTCAGAATTCCAGAAATTCGAAATATTATTTTAAAAAGTAGTGTTTCCGTTTTGTAGTTAGAAATTATTTGTAAAAATTCATTCAAAAAAGGTAACTGGTTGGAAGTGACGGCTCTCTCAATTAACGACACCTTCATCAGTTGAATATTCTCTGTTTCTAAAACCTTTTCCACCCAACCGAGCCTTCTGATCTTTGGAAAAAAAGAAGGCTCTCATCTATATCCGACACATTTTTGATTTAGATCTGTAGGAAAATTCCAATGCTTTCTTTTAATTATTCTCTCATAAACGTGTCTGTGTTGTTTCGGGTCGAAAGTCGTGAAAATCTCGAAAAAGCATCTCTCACCCACTATTCTTTGTCGCCCATATACAAGCCTTCTTTACTGATTGAAATCTGAATAATATCTCTCTTTTTCATGTTCCGGTGAATATGTGAAAGCCGGCGAGAAGAGGCAGTCACCGTATTCGTTTTTTTTGCCTTTTTCTTCTTCTTCTCCTACTCCTCAGTTTGAATTAAATGACGTGGTGATCCGCATTTCTGTACATGTATGTGATTATTACATCTTCGAGAATCGAAATGTCTCGCCTCATCCTTCTTTTGCCAACTTTGTTAATGAGATCTTGAATCGAAAAGTAGTATATAAATGATACGATAATAGTTTTATCATTTTATCATTTGTCAATTACTTGTCAAGTTTCTTTGATTTCTTTGAAAAGATCTCGATTTCTACTTTTACTTTTGAACTACCTTTGCTACAGTATCCCAAAAGCTTCAGTTATTGCTTAAATTGTATTATTCTGGTACAAAAAAATGGATATGGAAGAGAAACGCCAGTGGCCGTGGCCAAAGGTCCCACAACGACAACTACTGTAATCTGAAAATATATTTACTTTCGTATTTTCAGAAGAATAGATTTTTTGGAGCTTGTGAATTTCCAATTCTCGGAATTCTAAAATTTTCAGAAATCTGTAATTTTTGAATTTCTGCATTTTTGAATATTAGTGTTCCCAAAAATTCCGATTTCTGTAAATTCAGAAATTCAGAATTTTCGAGTTTCTGAATTTACGATTTTCCAAACGTTTGACTTTCAGAACCTCTCAATCTCTCAATTTTTGAATTTCTAAATTCCCGAATTTCTATATGTCCGAATTTCTAAATTTCTGAATTTCTGAATTTCTGAATTTCTGAATTTCTGAATTTCTGAATTTCTGAATTTCTGAATTTCTGAATTTCTGAATTTCTGAATTTCTGAATTTCTGATTTTCTGAATTTCCGAATTCGGCTATTTTCCTCCTGAAGAGTAGCAAAATGAAAAACTGAAAACGCAGGAAAATCGAGAAGGTGAATTCGAAAAAAAAATAGGTTACTGTAGTTGTCGTTTTGAGACCTTTGGCCACGGCCACAGGCATTTCTTGTTCACAGCTTCGATTTTTCAGTACCAGAATAATACAAGAGTTTAGCCCCCAAACTACAGTATCCCAAGATCTCAGAGAGACACAGTCCATCATCAATCACCAAAGCACGACACACTCATCATGCTTCTGTGTTTTTTTTGTTGTGTCTCTTCCCAAATTTGTCTAATTTGTTTAGTTTTCCCTCTTCCATTTTCTGTTCCCCCTCCTACCCACTTTTCTAGGTGAATGCTATAACGCGGAACAGAAACAAATCACGTATTCCAGGAAAAAACCCTTTTACCTGGTTCTTTTCTGGTTAAAACCGATTCGACCCTGCTTTCAGTTTTCAGTCAATTAGAGATTTATGCCCCTCATTTCGTTACGTGTCTTTCTCTGTATTGAAACTAGCTGTTCGCACAAAGAAGAAGAAGAAGAAGGGGAGGAGCGGAAAAGGGTTGGCATATCCAAAAGTTATTGGCATTTCAAAACCAATTGCCACCCGATTCGGGCGAAAGTTTCGATTCAAAGAGTCTTTTCTGAGTCTATCAATCCTCCTCTACTTTTTTCTCTTTTCCATAAGAAGATTTTCAAAAGTCCAGTCTTCATTTCATTGCCAATCAAAATGCAATCTCAGTTTCTCGAAAAGGAGATTTTCCTGTAATATACATCTCTCCCCACAAAAGGAATAAAGAAAGAATAAAGAGTTTCCCTAGGATCAGTTTCCTGTATTTTATTATGATTTGTCGTATTCTGATTGTTATGGGTTTAGTTCAGAAGCCTTATTCTATTCTTCCCCAAGCATTTTGTTCTCATGAAAATGTTCCTATAGTTTCAGAATGTGGATTATACAGTACTCTTTTTTTTGTTTTGCATTTTTCCGGGTTCACCGGAGCTCTCATTTGTTTTGGAAGACTGATCGTCACCTCTCAAACAGAAATTTGAGCCAATTTATCTCGGCTCTTGTTAAAGATATCAAAAAGTGAACGTCTGACAAAACGTTCATTTTAGTATCAGAAACATTTTATTAGTTGATCACTTTTTGATATCTTTTACAGGAACAAAGATATATAAGCTTAACGGTAAGAGGTCGGCAACCGACCGCGTAACTCGGCTGGCAATCGTCGAGTTATCAACTTTGAGCAAATTTATCTCGGTTCTTGTTAAAGATATACAAAAATGGTCAACTAACAAAATGTTTATCATAACACCAAAAACATTTTGTTAGTTGACCACTTTTTGATATCTTTTACAGGAACCGAGATAAATTGGCTCAAAGTTGAAAGTTACTAGGGGTCATCTTATTAGAAAGTGTTTACGTCATGTATCCCTCTGGAAGCCCCAAAGTTCTTATTTGTTTTAGAAGGCATTTTGTACCGGTTAATAAAATATACAAAAACGTATTTTCAGTATGTTTCGGTCATTTGGACAGCCGAGCTCCAGACTCTTGAAAATGTTCAAATGACCAAAAACCAACTAAAAATAAGTTGTTGTATATCTGACCGGTGTACTTTCAAAATATATTTCCATTTTGTTTATTTAAATTGAACTTTTCTACCCACTTTTTCTATCAAAGAATGTTCTTGATTCCAGACCTTCCCGATCTCTTCCAAATGGTGGATCGGAGTCGGCATCTGGGCATTCTGCCATCATTTCCCCGTTGCATCATTCTTCTTTTGGTGATCTCGATCAGTCAGGTAAATGAGCCAATTATGGCTATAGTGCAATCAGGATGACCACCCATCCAGACACTTTTTTTTGCAACATCTTTTTTCGTCATCCGACCGTTAGCCAACTTTTAATTCTTCTTCCTTGTTGGCTGATGAAATAGAGTGCAGAGTAGCGGAGACTTTAGATGATTGACGGTCGGACGGAATGTATATACAGAATAAGCAAAACGGAGACCGTTCGGAAACATGAATAATTGTAGCAATTATGACAGAAGAAACGAAAGTTACACGGGTTGAAATGAAGGAGATTTTGCTATTCTTTTGCTAGCAAAAAGAAAAGAAATCAAAGTTGAAAAAGTTTCAGGTATTGGGAAATGGATGTGATAAATATACAAAATGCAGGAATGATCTATTAGAAGTGCATTGGAAATGTGCAGAACCATCTAGAAGATTTACACAACACGCCTGCAAAATAAATGATTTATACGGGTAAGCGCGGGATTACAGTAAGCACACTATCAGAACGCACCCCTTCATTTTCAGCTTTGAGCCTATGTATCTCATTTCCTCTAAAATTTATCTTAAGATGGTCAGCTGACAAAATTTTTATCATAATTTCAGCAACATTTTACTAGTGAACCACTTTTTGATATCTTCTACAGGAAATAAGATACAGTACCGGTCAATAAAATGTACACAAACGTGTTTTTTCAGTTGATTTTGACCATTTTCAGGAGTGTGGAGCTCGGCTTTCAAGTGTCCGATCACTTTGAAAAATTTCAAAACAGACGTAGATCAAAAACTTTGCATTCGCCGAATTTTTTGAAAACACCGCACTTGGGTTCAAGGG